ACACCCAAAAGTATGAAAAAAAAAATTACCACATGAAATATTAAGTTTAATGCACACAAACTGAAGAAGACATGCACAGTTTGTAGTACTCTACTAAAAATAGAATATATGACACTTACCTTTAATGAAGATCTGGTGATGATTGATAGGATAGGAGGAGGGGAGAGTGTTGAACTTATTGTTTAGAAGGGGAATCCCCTTCCATTAGGACTTGAGGTAGCAAGTCCTTTTCCGGGGTTACTTCCCTTCTTTTAATGCCACTAGGACCAGCTTGAGAGTCACTGGACCTCTGTCGCACAACAAATCTGTCCATAGAGCTCTGTACCTCCTGTTCCTTTACGATTTGTCTAAAATGGGCCACAACATTGTCATTGTAATAGTCACCAGTTTGGCTTGCAATAGCTGTGTTAGGGTGATTTTCATCCATAAAGGTTTGCAGTTCAACCCACTTTGCACACATTTCCTTAATTTTTGAAGTAGGCACAATGGATTCCACAACTGGCATAGGCTTCTCAGGGTTAGCCCCAAACCCTTCAAAATCTTTCTTAATTTCCATACTAATTCTCACCCTTTTTACCACAGGGTTGGCACTAGAAGCTTTCTTGGGGCCCATGGTGACTTATTTTGCAGAAACGAGCACCAAAAACACTGTGATGATATGGAATGTACCGAATGTATGCTTAGATGCGAGCACACTGGCTGGCTTGTAAACACTGGCACGCACTGGGCAGTTCAGGCCACATGTGGACACGTCTCGGACGAATCGCGTGTGGCGGGTTTTTTAACAAGTGGCGAGGCAAAATTTTTGCGTTAAAATGTATCAAATACCGGATTTATTGGATACCGATGCCATCGAATACCGGGGGTCCACTGTACTTAGAGCACTTACACACATACACACAAACTTACTTGTATATATTTGTACTATGTTATTAAATGCTAACGATGTACCAGACGGTACTTAAAAGCCATAAAGATGTGATATGTGCCTTCAGCACAGTACATGTACTACTGTACATGAGAGAAGTTTAGGAACTTGTATCCTATATTATATTCAATTGATTACTTTAATTTACTTTGATAATATATGCCTAGACAACTTTATTGTTAAGTAAAAGGACACAAGTGCAACTAATGTGACATTTATTGTGGCAACGTTTCGCTCTCCAGGAGCTTTATCAAGCCATTACAAACAATAGAGAGCGAAATGGAGAGTGAAACGTTGCCACAATAAATGTCACATTAGTTGCACTTGTGTCCTTTTACTTTACATATTGTCGGTAATCTAGATAGTAGGTTGGTAGACAGCAACCGCCCAGGGAGGTACTACCGTCCTGCCAAGTGAGTGTAAAACTGAAGCCTGTAATTGTTTTACACGATGGTAAGATTGCTGGTGTCTTTTTTTTTATCTGTCTCATACACATGCAAGATTTCAGGTATGTCTTGCTACTTCTACTTACACTTAGGCCACACTACACATACATGTACAAGCATATATATACACACCCCTTTGGGTTTTCTTCTATTTTCTTTCTAGTTCTTGTTCTTGTTTCTTTCCTCTTACCTCCATGGGGAAGTGGAACAGAATTCTTCCTCCGTAAGCCATGCGTGTTGTAAGAGGTGACTAAAATGCCGGGAGCAAGGAGCTAGTAACCCCTTCTCCTGTATATGTTACTAAATGTAAAAGGAGAAACTTTCGTTTTTCCTTTTGGGCCACCCCGCCTCGGTGGGATACGGCCGGTGTGTTGAAAGAAAGAAAGAATTGTCGGTAATTCTACCAACTTTATTACAACTTTATTGTTATTAATAAACTTATTAAATTTTAATTTCTTTAGTTAGTAGCCTACCAGTTGTAATCCTGAAGCACTATTGAATCTTACTAAATTCTAATGGATAATTGGACCAGGATACTGACTACTTGTTACAAAAACCTAGTAACAGGCTGGATGCTAGAAGGGCAGTCCTTTCTAGTACTCACTGGAGATCTCTATGCTTATTAGATATCGCATTTTTTGTAACATCTACCACCATCACTTACACCCTCTATCACCATCACTACCACCCTCTACCACCATCACAACCACTACTACTCTCTACCACCATCACTACCACCCTCTTCAAGTAACAAAGGCAGACTGAGTCATAAATGTATGAGCGGCTGCGTCCCGCGGGCAGGCGGATGCATCTGGTACGGATGATTTCTGAGCGGATGTACAAAAACAGGCGGAAAATTTCACCTAAAACAGCGGTCAAAAACTGAATTGTATGATAACCGGACTGGACGAAAACCGGGGTTCCACTGTATATATACTGTATAAGTTTTATTGATGTCAAAATTGAGTTTTTTGTTTCCATTTAAGTCAGGGTGATCAAAAAAAATGTGTAACTTTACTTTTTTTTTCATAGCTGTCTGCCCAGAAGGGCACCTACATCATGTTTTAACCCTTTCAGGGTTTCCGACGTACTAGTACGGCTTACCCACAAGGGTTATTGATGTACTAGTATGCCTAAACTCTAGCGCCTTCAGATCTAGCAAGAGAAAGCTGGTAGGCCTACATATGAAAGAATGGGTCTGTGTGGTCAGTGTGCACAGTATAAAAAAATCCTGCGGCACACAGTGCATAATGAGAAAAAAAAACTTTGACCATGTTTTTGTTTAAAACTGCGACTTTGCACTGTATTTTTGTATGGTATTTATGGTTGTATTCTAGTTGTTTTCCTGGTCTCATTTTATAGAATGGAAGACATATTACAGAAATTGAGATGATTCTGATTGGTTTTACAATGAAAAGTACCTTGAAATTGAGCTCAAAGTAGCAGAAATGTTCGATTTTTGCCAAAGTTCAAAAGTAAACAAAAGCCACACATCCAATACATGTCAACTGGTGAGTCTAATATTCTTTCACAAGTGCACTGATATTATTTATACCATTTCTACACTAATGCATAACAGTAAATCTTCTATTTTTTGTGAGAATAAAAATTCAAAGTGGAAAGCAAAAGAAATGTAAGAGGGGCCTGAGGACATGACTAATGAACAGAGGAAATGTTATTTTAGTGCCAGGAATATCTGTCTTGTTTATTCTGGACCCTGTTTGGAAATTGGCATCTTTTGAAATTTGTGTGAAATTGGCGAAATTGCTAATTTCTGACCACTTTACTGGATAGTTGAAATCAGTAAATGGGTGGTTTCTTGTACTCATTCGATAGAAAAATTGGAGTTCTAGCAAAATAGTTATGATTTTTTGTCAACTAGTACATTGGAATTGGCTGAAAATGGGGCTCAAAGTGGGCGAAATCGCCGATGTGTAAACATCGTCGAGACCGCTAACTCTGCGGGAGCATAATTCTGTAAGTTTTCCATCAAATTTCATACTTTTGGTGTCATTATGATCGGGAAAAGATTCTCTATCTTTTCATAAGAAAAAAGTTTTTTTCTGAAAAATTTTCGACCCTGAGAACAAGTTTAGGAGAGGGCCTCTGGACCCTGAAAGGGTTAATAATGTCCAACTGAACCACAGCATCTCAACAATTTTAAAGATTTAAGATTTAATGAGATTTAAAGATTTATTTTATTTCTTTGCAGTGTTTACAATGTGTGATTACAATTTTGATTTGTTAAGTACAAAGAAAGCCACTTTTGGGCAGACCAAACCTAATTCATACAGACTACTTATTACTGTACTAGTGTTTTGAGAAGACTAAATTTTTATTATACATGGTTTTTCTTATTAATAGAGGTAGCTAATTGTCTACAGTAATCAAAACTTATAGCTGTAATATATAAAAAAATTACAGTATTACAAATTTAGCACAGTTAACAGTAATGAGATTGAGGCAGTTTTAAGTTTGAAACAGTGATTAAATAGTTGATCAGTCATAAAGCACAATTTACAATAATGAAATTGAAACACTTTTAAGTTGAAACCACAAGCACAGTATCAGTTACCTTCAAACCTCTTAACTTCAAATAGCACTTCAGTACTCCCCCCCCCCCACAGAAAAAATATTAATCCATGCACTCAAGATGCTCAACCTCGCTCTCTCTCAGCAACTCCATAAAATTCTGCTTCCAATCATCTTCCATCCACTCTAGATTTATACACATCTTACATAAATATAACAAGTAAACAATAATACTGTACATATGGATGTTGAGATTCAGGATTTCAAATTTACTATGTCACTTCTGAAAAGTCATAATTATGCATAACATTTTGGATAAAACCAAACCAGAAATGAATTGCAGAAGTTATTGTATGATTAATTACATGGTTGGAGTTGTATCTCTTAGGAATCTGATAGTAATGCTGTCTTAAAAATAAGAAACTGTAATAGGTAAAAAATGTTCATAGGAGCTTGGACAACCAATAGGCTTTTGTGTTGTGTGTGTTAGACATGAGTGAATGGAGGTAAGTGGTGTTTATGACAATGTGCTGTTGGAGTGTGAGCAAGGAACCATTTATGAAGGGATTCAGTGAAAGTGGTTAGCTGGACTCGAGTCCTGGAGGTGGGAAGTACAGGTTTCTTTCAACCTCTATATTAGAAGTGATCAAGGTCCCAGGACCGAAATGTTTTCTAATAAATATATCCTAGTGTTTGCTTACGTGTTTTTCTAAACCAAGCATATACAGGTATATACAAACCCCTCTGGGTTTTCTTCTATTTTCTTACTATTTTTTGTTCTTGTTTATTTCCTCTTATCTCCATGGGGAAGTGGAACAGAATTCTTCCTCCATAAGCTATGTGTATCGTAAGAGGCGACTACAATGCTGGGAGCAAGAGGCTAGTAACTTCTCCTCCTGTATACATTATTAAATTTAAGAAGAGAAACTAGTTTTTCTTTTTAGGTTACCCTGCCATTGTGAGATATGGCCTGACCATTGAAAAAAAGAATTGGATTGTTTTGAAATTTGGTTCGCCTTACTTTGGTGGGGAAAGTGAAAAGTTAAAGAAAATTGGTTTTACAGTATACTGTATATATTTTTTTTTGTCCTCAGATATTAACATTGTGTCCTGATATTAAATGGCATATGATTGGTCACCTTCAAACCAACAAGATAAAAAAGGTAAGAAAAAAAAGTGTGTGCATGATACTGCTCAATCTTATTTATAAATACTTGTAAGAAATATCTTAGTGATAATGTTTATTAAAACTGACCAAGTTGAGAATGTTTTGAAATAAAATGAAAATATATTTCTGTGCCTTACAGGCCTGTAACCCCCAGTGACATCACACTCACACATACATGAAATCTTACCCTACCAACAGACAGCAACGCTTGATCATTAATAACTGTACTTCAGCAGTCCGATCAGTCAATATAGCAGTTCCATAGGGCAGTGTTCTGGGTCCTCTGCTATTTCTCGTTTACATCAAGAGCCTTCCTTATGTTTCACAGGAATTTATACAAATTCTGTTTGCAGATGACAACTTTTATCATGTCAAATGCAGATCTAGCTACACTCAACAACACAGTCAGTGCTGAACTTGGAAATACAGTATGTAGATTGTAAACCATATACATCATTAACAGGTTATTGAAGTGCCCAATCTGTTCTGCATTGAAACCATTGACAGCATTAAACTGGCCACAGCTGTCAATAGTGGTGTTGAGAAGTACCTTGGAAACAAGAAGTTAAAGATATATGTTCAAGTTAACACAAGTGATGAACAAAGTAAGTCAATACTTTCACCTGAATGAACTTTTTTGCTTTTGGAGTGGATATTGCTTGAAATATAAGTAATAGTTCATTTGCTAAGTTAATGATTTTGCATTATAATGAATGACACATGTTACACTGCCTTCTCTCAGTGATGTTCCTTGTCTTCTCATTCTCTTCCCTTCAGTTGGAGTTACCCTCTCCTTCCATGGAACAAACTACCTCCCATTCCCCAGGCACTATATGATCCATACAAATTTAGCACTTCTCCATAAATATGTTCTGTCAGTAATAAATCCTCATTCTCTTATTTATTTTCATTACTCAAGTTTTTCATAAGAGTGTACAAAATTCTTTTTTCAAGTTTTGTAGTTTTTGTACTAAATTTTTTTTAAGACCGGCCATTTCCCACCAAGGTAGTGCGACCCGAAGCAGAAGAAACACTTTCATGAGACTCACTCCATCACTGTATTGCCTGAGGCATGCCAGCATTACAGCTTAGATGCCTCTCTAAACTGCAGTATCCCCACCCCTCCTTCAGAGTTCACCATAGGTATACAAATTTGTGTTTTCTTAAATATAATTGCTGTAATGGTTTTATTTCTCTAAGTGTTTTATGATTTTTGTATTTTTTTTTATATTATAGACAAAAGTGGAGTTGATGCAGATCATGTGAATGAGCTGGTGGGTCATGTTTTGCAGAACTGTGCTCATCTAGATTTAGTTGGTCTTATGACCATTGGAGCATTTGATCATGACCTCTCCGAAGGTCCTAACCCAGACTTTCAGGTAAGAGCTTACAGTAAAATTGAACATTCAGGGATTATAGTTAAAGGTTTCTTCCTGTTATTTTTAAGATCCTTGTAAATATGTAAATACAGTGGAACCTTGACTTACGAGTGTCCCAACATACGAGTTTTTTGAGATACGAGCCGTCCCTGGGTCGATTTTTTGCTTTGAGTTACGTGCCAACATTTGAGTTACGAGCCAGCTCCCTCTGCTTCCCCTTCAACCCAAAACCTGGACACCTCGTCTGTTTATCTATGATTTCATGCTTTAATTCCATGGAAATCATCCTCTTTTTCTTCTCCGTACTGTCCTTTACACTTACTTTCTTAGGACCCATGCTTAGAAAAACGAAATTTGGCCAAATGACTTGTCAGAAATGTAAGCAAAGGATGAGAGAACTGCTCCCACAGCGAGGTAAACAGTGCACTGAGTTAGCAGCGTTCTTTATTATTTTAATAATAATTATTAGTAATATTATTATTATTATTATTATTATTATTATTATTATTATTATTAATTTAGGTAACTAGAGCACAGATCCAATTCCCTAGATCAAGAGCCCCTCACCAGCATCAAGGAACCTTGAGGCTGGTGAGGGGCTCTTGATCTAGGGAATTGGATCTGTGCTCCAGTTCCCTAAATTAATAATAATAATAATAATAATAATAATAATAATAAAATAATTATACATAATATGTACGTAATAATTCAGAATGCTGCTGCTAGTTGGCACAGCTGATGCCAAAACATCTGCTAAGCAGTGCACATGTTTACATCACTGTGGGAGCAGTTCTCTCATGCTTGCTTGCATTTTTTTTTACAGTCATTTGGCCAAATTTCTTTTTTCTAACCATGAGTCCTAAGAAAATAAGCACAAAGGACAGTGCTGAGAAGAAAAAGATGATGATTTCCATGGACTTAGCCAGGCAATACCAGCTTAGTACATCTACGATATGTAGATACTAAAGTTGTATCAGTTATGTTCAGTGATTAAACAAAACAATGTTTTTGTTGGAGGTTTACAGGGCCACTGACATCATATGCTGCAGCCTCAACCTCCCCCACCCTCAACCCCCCCACCCTCAACATCCTCCACCCTCATCCCCCATCCTCAACCTCCCCCACCCTCAACCTCCCCCACCCTCAACATCCCCACCCTCAACATCCTCCACCCTCATCCCCCATCCTCAACCTCCCCCACCCTCAACCTCCCCCACCCTCAACCTCCCCCACCCTCAACATCCCCACCCTCAACATCCTCCACCCTCATCCCCCATCCTCAACCTCCCCCACCCTCAAACTCCCCCACCCTCAACCTCCCCCACCCTCAACCTCCCCCACCCTCAATATCCTCCACCCTCACATCCTCCACCTCAACATCCCCCACCCTCAACATCACCCCACCCTCAACATCCCACCCTCAACATCCCACCCTCAACATCCCCACCCTCAACATCCCCCACCCTCAACATCCCCACCCTCAACATCCCCCATCCCACATCCCCACCCTCAACATCCCCACCCTCAACATCCCCACCCTCAACATCCCCACCCTCAATATCCCCACCCTCAACATCCCCACCCTCAACATCCCCCACCCCTCAACATCCTCACCCTCAACACCTCACCCCAATCCCACCCTCAACATCCCCACCCTCAAACATCCCCACCCTCAACATCCCCACCCTCAACACCCACCACCCTCAACATCCCCACCCTCAACATCCCCACCCTCAACATCCCCCACCCTCAACAATCCCCACCCTCAACATCCCCCCACCCTCCAACACCCTCACCCTCAACACCCACCCTCAACATCCCACTCCACCACAAATCCACCCTCAACATCCCCACCCTCACACCCACCCTCAACATCCCCCCTCACATCCCCACCCTCAACATCCCACCCTCAACCACCCCCACCCTCAACATCCCCACCCTCAACAATCCCACCCTCACATCCCACCCTCAACCATCCCCACCCTCAACACCACCCCACCCTCAACATCCCCACCCTCAACATCCCCACCCTCAACATCCCCACCCTCAACACCCCCCACCCTCAACACCCCCCCACACCTCAACACCCACCCTCAACATCCCCACCCTCAACATCCCCCACCCTCAACATCCCCACCCTCACCACACCTCACACCCTCACATCCCACCCTCAACATCTCACCCCTCAACATCCCCACCCTCAACACCCCCACCCTCAAATCCACCTCAACATCCCACCTCAACATCCCACCCTCAACATCCCCACCCTCACATCCCCACCCTCAACATCCCCACCCTCAACCTCCACCTCACCTCACCCCCCCAACCCTCACTCCCCACCCTCAACATCCCACCCTCAACATCCCCACCCTCAACATCCCCACCCTCAACATCCCCACCCTCAACACCCCACCCTCAACACTCCCCCACCCTAACACTCCCCACCCTCAACACTCCCCCACCCTCAACATCCCACCCTCAACACCCTCACCACCCCACACCCCACCCTCAACATCCCCACCCTCAACATCCCCACCTCAAACCCACTCCCCACCCTCAACATCCCCCACCTCACACAACCCCCACCCTCACATCCCACCCTCAACATCCCACCCTCAACATCCCCCACCCTCAAACTCCCCCACCTCAACATCCCCACTCAACATCCCCACCCTCCAACATCCCCACCCTCAACATCCCCCACCCTCAACATCCCCACCTCACTCCCCACCCTCAACTCCCCACCCTCAACATCCCCACCCTCAACATCCTCCACCACTCAATCCCCACCCTCAACATCCCCCACCCTCAACTCCCCACCCTCAACATCCCCACCTCAACATCCCCCCTCAACACTCCCCACCCTCAACATCCCCACCCTCAACATCCCCACCTCAACATCCCCACCCTCAACATCCCCACCCTCAACCATCCCCACACCTCAACATCCCCACCCTCAACATCCCCCCTCACCACTCAACATCCCCACCCTCAACATCCCCACCCTCAACTCCCCACCCTCAACATCCCACCCAACATCCACCCTCACATCCCCACCCTCAACATCCCAACCCACCCTCAACATCCCCACCCTCAACATCCCACCTCAACATCCCACCCTCAACATCCCCACCCTCAACATCCCCACCTCAACATCCCCCACCCTCAACATCCCCACCTCACATCCCCACCTCACATCCCCCACCTCCCCCTCAACATCCCCCCCCAACTCCCCACCCTCAACATCCCCACCCTCTCATCCCCACCTCAACATCCCCACCCTCAACATCCCCACCCTCAACATCCCCACCTCAACATCCCCCACCCTCAACATCCCCCACCCTCAACATCCCCCTCACACCCCATAACATCCCACCTCAACATCCCCACCCTCAACATCCCTCTCCCCACCCTCAACATCCCCACCTCAACATCCCCACCCTCACATCCCCACCCTCAACATCCCCACCCTCAACATCCCCCACCCTCAACATCCCCACCCTCAACATCCCCACCCTCAACATCCCCACCCTCAAATCCCCACCCTCAACATCCCCCACCCTCAACATCCCCCACCCTCAACATCCCCCACCCTCAACATCCCCACCCTCAACATCCCCACCCTCAACATCCCCACCCTCAACATCCCCACCCTCAACATCCCCACCCTCAACATCCCCACCTCAAACACTCACATCCCACCCTCAACATCCCCCACCCTCAAATCCACTCACATCCTCACCCTCAACATCCCCACCCTCAACATCCCCCACCCTCAAATCCCCCACCCTCAACATCCCCCACCCTCAACATCCCCCACCCTCAACATCCCCCACCCTCAACATCCCCACCCTCAACATCCCCCACCCTCAACATCCCCACCCTCAACATCCCCACCCTCAACATCCCCACCCTCAACATCCCCACCCTCAACATCCTTCCACCTCAACATCCCCACCCTCAACATCCCCACCCTCAACATCCCCACCCTCAACATCCCCACCCTCAACATCCCCACCTCAACATCCCCCACCCTCAACATCCCCACCCTCAACATCCCCCACCCTCAACATCCCCACCCTCAACTCCCCACCCTCAACATCCCCACCCTCAACATTCTCACCTCAACATCCCACCTCAACATCCCCACCTCATCACCCTCAACATCCCCACACCACTCACATTCCCCACCTCTCATCAATCCATCCCACCATCAACATCCCCACCCTAACATCCCACGAACTCAAACATCTCCCACCTCCAACATCCCCACCTCACATCCCTTACCTCACATCCACCCAATCCCCACCCTCAACTCCCCACCCTCAACACCCCCACCCTCAACATCCCCACCCTCAACTCCCCACCCTCAACATCCCACCTCATCCTCCACCTCAAATCCCACCCTCAACATCCCCACCCTCACATCTCAATCTCACATCCCCACCTCAACTCCATTCAACTATCGCAACCTTAAATCTCCAATCCATCTCCACACTCAACATCCACCAACTTCCACCAGCTCCAATCCACTTATACAACCTAACATTCTCCCACCCAGTCTGATTCTACATTAGCAAACACCGCACAGACATCCTTAAAATAGCTAACCTTCATCATCAACATCCCCCTAACATCTACCCTCAACCATACCAACCTCAACAATCACCAGCCTAATTTCTCATCCATACTCAACATAGCCCATCCCTAAACACCTCATAATCCCCAAACAGTCAAATCCCCATTCAATCCTACTGGCTTCACCACAGTTGTACTTCAAATTATCACAGAATACCTTCTCTTCCTTCTCATTTATCTAGTACCCACAAACCTCGGTAACAATGGGCTACCCTGATACATACAATTCTCTGCAAATAACCTGAACAAGCTCACTATATACATATACATAAATGCCTAGAAATCCAAAGTCAACTATCCGTCAGTCATTACCTCATTTAAATATATCTTTGTACTTATTTCAGCAGGGACACATGTTTCTT